TATATAGAGGTGGGGGTGTAGGGTGTAGGGTGTTGGGTGTAGTGGTGTAGGGGTGTGGAGGTATAGGGGTGAGGGAGTGTATAGGGGGTATGGTGTAGGGGTGTAGGGGTGTAGGGGTTTTGGAGGTGTAGAGGTGTAGGGATGAAGGATTATATATACATTTATAGAGGTGGGGGTGTAGAGTGTAGCGTGTAAGGTGTAAGGTGTAGGGTGTAGGGGTGTGGAGGTGTAGAGGTGTTGGGGTGTACGGAGTAACGGTCTTGGGGTGTAGGGTAGGTTGAGGGTTAGGGTTACGGCATTAAAAGTAATCGTTCAGTCCAAAAGTGGAGCATTATTCTCTGTAAGTTGAACTGTGACTGTTTTACGCCTCAATCGACCTTATTTAGACAGTATTGTGGTAACTCACTGAAAAGAACGTGCAATCTGATCACTCGACAACGCTTCAAAACGAGTTGTTTTGAGTACTTTAACAGATGTATAACTTTTTAAAAAAAATCTATACGTATTTTTCTTTTCTTTTTTTTTTCTTCTTCCTTACCTGAAAAATAAAAAGGCAGAAAAAACATGCGTAGTATAAAAAAATATGCAGATTCGTGTTTCTGATTTGTGTACGGTATGAGTCGAAATGTGCCTCAATAATACATTTGGTCCGCTACATAGTGATCGTTGCAACGTCTTCAAAGAGTTAAAGAAACTTGCCTACAAATCGCATACTGAGAATGATATTATTGTCTCATATCTCGCTTCTAAGACTCACCAACATTTTTAGACATCTGTTGAAATAAATTCTGCAAAGCGACTGATCGTTAGAATAACATAATATAATATGATGGACTTCTCGTTTTTGTAAACCTCTCTTTACTCGCAACCACGTTTCAAAACACACATAGCTCGTTTTCGTGATAAAGTGTTATAATATTGACAATAAATACGAGATCGATATCTTGATTAGATTATCCGGTTCCGCCCCCGAAAGCTTGCGTATAACAACACCTTAATCAGCATGATTAAACACAAACGATATTATCATCAGGCAGATTGTAATCGATTCCGGCAGCCGGTTCCATGATCTGAGAGGGCGATAGGGGAAGATTGAAGAATACTGGACCACTCGTGTACATTATTGGGCGAGAATGTGTGTGTGTGGGTGTGTGTACTCACAG